CCTGCTTTGGACCAAACATACATTTTATTTCTGTGCTAATAAGCCGAGTCCGATGCTGGCCAGGAAACTCAATTCTGTGGGGAAACCCGATTGTGACTTCCCACGGGTGGCTGTACTTCTAGTCCCCAGCAGATTGTTTCCCGTTTTGCAGACTTCCTTTTGTGCCTTTACACTAAACCAGATCCCTTCCCTGTGGCTCAGGCAGAGGCATTCTTCCAAGATCTCCGATTTCCTGGATTATCTGAGACAGCGCAGATGGCCCTCAACGCCAGTGTCACCATATTGGAAGTGCTTCAAGCTATCAAATCTCTACGGTCCACCGAGGGCCCAGCTCCCAATGGCTTTTCTGGTCTCTATTATAAGAAATTTGCAACCCTGTGTGTGCCATTCTTGGCTGATTATTTCAACGAGTTTGCCCTCTCCAGACGCGCTTCGAGCCATGATTCCTAAGATGACAGATGATATGCAGAAACCTCAAGCCTTTCTCCCCATTTCTCTTCTTAATGAAGACTTGGAGGTATTGGGCAAGATCCTTAGTCTTCATATCAATAAATATTTGCGTAGCCTGGTCCACAGGAGCCAAGTAGGTTTCGTCTCTGGGAGGCAGGCGGGTGATAACGTTCATAAGGTGGTCCATCTTATACACTTTCTACAACAGCAGAAAATCCCGGGATTCTTACTGTCCTTAGACATATGTAAAGCCTTTGATTCTGTATCCTGGGAATATCTGCATTTTGTGCTGTCTCATTGGGGTTTTGGGGATTCTATTCTTTCTTGGATTCAAACCTTGTATTCTTCCCCTTCGGCTTCCGTTAAATATGCTGGGTATTTTTCAGATCCCTTTTCTATTTGTCGAGGGACGAGACGGGGCTGCCCCCTGTCCCCAGTGCTCTTTGTCCTGGCGCTTGAGCCGCTGGCTTTAGCGCTCCCGGCCAATTGTAATGTATCGGGTGTTCCATACGCGGGACAGGAGTTTAAGTTGAAGCTTTTTGCGGATGATGCTCTCTTGACTCTAACTAATCCCCTGATGACGCTTCCAGATTTGCAAAAGGTTCTTGTGTGCTTTGCCTTGATTTCGGGTCTCCGTATTAATTTGGATAAGACTTTTGCTCTCAATATTACTTTGGCCTCAAATTTGGTTTCACGCCTACAGTCCCACTTTCCTTACAAATGGGCTGCCTCTTCTCTTGAATATCTAGGCATTCGCTTGACCCCCACCTATGACTCATTGTTTGCTGCAAATTATTATCCCTTGCGTCTCTTTGTGTCCTCCTATGTACTCCTGGCAATTTCCTCACCTGTCTTGGATAGGACTGGTTAATTCAGTGAAAATGACCATTTTGCCAAAATTGTTATACTATTTTCTCACCCTCCCAGTGCGGGTTCCTTCTCATTTCCTTCGGTTGATTCAGGCGAAGATTATCCATTTTATCTGGGCCGATAAGTGCCCCAGAGTCTCCAGAAATACGCTTTTTGTTCATAGACGCCAGGGTGGTCTTGGGGTGCCTAATGTAAGTAAGTATTATCAGGCGAGCCAGATTGCTCTGCTGTCTATGTTGCACACTTCCTCTGATGTTCCTCTCTGGGTCCTGCTGGAACTACCTAACTGAGTCCCTATTGTGACACCGATGCTTCTAGGGCTTCCCCCTGTCATACACCCTAGTACACTCAGTCCGATTTTGCTCCATGGTCTATATGTGTGGGACTCGATATGCTACTCCAGTGGCCTGGTGTCACCTTTCCTACCATTGCTCCCAATTGTTAACAACCCTCTTTTTCCACCAGGTTTAGGTCAATCAAGGGCGTTTTCTTGGTGGGTGGCCAATTTTTTTTGCAGGTGCACCACTTTTTTACTTCTCGGTCCTTCCCCACCTGGAATTCTCTTTGGGAGTCATGGGATGTTCCTCTGGCGGAATTTTCTTGCTACCTTCAACTGCGGCATTGGCTGACCTCACTGCAGGGCACTTCCGCCTTTCCGTATCGGAAATCTGCCTTTGAACAACTTTTCCAACAGCGTACGGGCGCCCCTGGCCTTATTTCCCTTTTTTATGCAGCTTTGAACAGACTCTCAATGCATACTTCTCTCTCATATGTCGCTCAATGGGAGCGCGACCTGGGGCAGTCATGGATCTGGAGGACTGGAATAGGACCTGGTCTTTATAGCTAAATGTTCCTTTAATACAACTACGCTGGAGGTGGCATAGAAAGTATTGTTTTGCTGGTATTGGGCTCTGGCAAGCAAACCCTGCCTGCAGTGATCGATGCTTTCAGGGTTGTGCCCATCGTAGTGATTTACTGCATATCTGGTGGTCATGCCCAATTGGTTTTTGGTCTTGTGTGTTTGGTCTCCTTTTTACCTCGTTCCATCTCCCCATACGCTGGGGTGCTCAGTATGCTTTGCTTCATTGTACTATACTGAGCCTCTTGGCTCACCAGCAGAAGTTGGCTTCCTATTTGTTTTTGTCGGCCACTAGAACAATTGCTCAGGCATAGAAGTGCCCATTTGTCTCTCTTCAGGGGATGCGGGACCGTATGACCACTATGATGCTTAATGAACAGATGTTGAATATTTGTAATGATTCCCAACGGAAATGTTTGAAAATATGGGAGATGTGGTTGCAATATGCCCTTCCCACACTCCCCCGGGCTAGTCTGGGGTTGTGATGTTGCTCGGTACTGGTGTTTCCGAACCCCTGCTCATGGTCTTGTCATCTTTTTCCTTTTATACTCCTCCTTCCTTATCTATTTCTATTTGTTTTTGGTGTGGCAGTGGATAGCTGCCTTTGGTTTGAGTTACTGTTGATTTTATACCAATGTTTTTGTCATTTATGTGCCATTGATAGCCCCTGCGTGGGCACACCTTTTGCTCTGTTGGTTTTAGAGCACTGTTTTCTTTATTTTTTTATGTGCAATTGATGGCCTTTGTGTGGGCATGTCTTGTTGCTTATGTTTTTTTTAAATGTTTATAAACTAATAAAAATTATTGAAATTATTATTATTATTATTATACAGTATTTATAAAGCGCCAATAGTTCGCTCAGCGCTGTACATTACAAAGGGGGACAGAACATGTGACAGAACAATAACAATACAATGCAAAACATGAGGGGATCGAGGGCAATACAAAAAGGAACGTCTGCCCTGAGAGTGGATGGTTTCAGGACAGTAAGTACTTAGGCATTTGGAGATATCGGCCTACTATATCACTTTTTGGGTCATTCCACACCACCCTGAGAGGAGTAATGCTACACAGGTCAAAGTATAGCTAGTAGTAGTTAGCCTCATTCATCTGGACATATCCTATAAAGAAGAAGTGGTCTCCTGCTTGTCTGAGTGACTGCCTCAGTTCAAATGAATGAACTCAGTCATCATAATCCAATCTTCATGGTGTCATAAAACGTGTCAAGTAGGATCTTGAACGTCCAAGAACATTAAGCATTTCTTGATGCCAGATAAAAAGAATAGTAAATCAAAATGCACAGTACCCACAAATGCTTAAAATACACTTTCACTTTGCTCATTCAAGGCAAACTGACAGTGTCCACTGATAGACTCCTCCCCCCACCCCCAAACAAGGTATACCCACACATCAGCGCTTCAACACCACCTCCCTTCTTCATTGTTTCACCATAGGTAAGTTCCAGAAACAGATAATGTTGAAGTTTGCCCAAGTGGATAAGATCACTTCTCCTCCCCATGTGGCAATTGGCTGCTGAGGCCCAAGCACTACCACACTGAGAGGTCACCTGGTCTTGCATACCCAAAATCCCCATTTTAGCAACATATCAAGGGCACCAACTGAGCAGGGAGGCAGTGAAAGATCTTTGTGTACAAGTTGCTGAAGGAGGGGGTAGAGGAAGGGTTGACTATTTGCAGACACTGTAATTTTACCCTGAATGGGCAGATGACAGCATGTTTTTAATGTTTCATTCGTCTGCCACAATAAAAGTAACCCAGGTTGCAGCATCAATGTTATTGGCCTCAATTTCCCCTGTAATCCTTTGCTGAGCCTCTAAGTGATTTCAACACATAAAATGAGTGTGTTGGGTACAAGATGACATTGTGCTTGTATATTGTATATGAATACACTTCAAAAGTAATGCCAATAGCTTTACATGGTAATGTTTGTATTTAAAAATCTGATTTATCTGCACAATTTCAGCTTAAGTCTATATTTCCATGTACTTTAAATCTTAGTCCACTATATTAAATATTAATTACTTACAGATATTTATTTAGAATATTATGGTCAGCTCCCCCTTCTATTTTATTTGGAGCCTTTCACTTGGATTAAGAAATTAATCCAAGGATTTTTGTGGGATATGATGAATAAGATCCTTAGTGCAGAAAAATGTGAAATGTGTCCAACGGCCAGCTGCATGAGGGGGTGTCCCAAAATATGACTTTCTGTGGTGGATGGAGGGCGACTCTTTGTTTGTCTTCGGTTTACTTTCTTAATATATGACAGGTTTCCAAATTATCCAGCTACCCTATAAATCATACAGTAAATGTGCATTTTGAGTATTGGTTAGAGCCTCGTCAGTGAGGGCCTTTGACGAAGTTAAAATAAGAGCAGAAAAGTGCAATAAGAAGTTTATTGTCTCTAGGTTTGCCACCCATTCGGTTTTGAATCAGGCAGTTTGGTTTTTATAACTGTTGTCTGGTTCTTTAGTTGCTATATAGAGTGTTAGGTTTGGGCCTAGCATACCAGCCTTCCCCTCCTCCACTGTGCCTGCTCTATCTGGTGTATTTGCAGGACATGTTATTTGGAGCGCCGAGTGCTACTCTGTATTTTAGAAGTGCTGTCAACTCGTGTGAACGAAGTCTGCAATTCTGTTCGCAGTCTTCTTCACAAATACATTGCAACAATATTATGACAAGGCATATTATTTGGCATTTATGTGCACACCAGGGGCGGACTGACCATTTGGAAACTCGGGCACTGCCCGAGGGCCCGGGGTCACTAGGGGGCCCCATGAGATGCCTCTGGTACCTTTTTCATAGGCTTTTTTGAGTTTGGGCAAGGACACAGGGGCCCCATGATCCTCTATTGCCCGGGGGCCCCATGAGTTGTCAGTCCGCCCCTGGTGCAGACCATAGTTCTTTGATTCAGTTCCATCAAACCTGTATGTGAAAAAGTTAAATAAAAGTTTCTGATTCATTGGTAAGCTCTAATAGGCCAACACAGGAGAAGGATCCTGGAAACACACACCCAGATGGACATTGTAGTCCAGATAATAGGAAGAGCCTGATCCCTGAGACAGTGTGTGGTACCTTATTATTATTATTATAATTATACAGGATTTATATAGCGGCAACAGTTTGCTCAGCATTTTACAATATAAAGGGAGACAATACAGCAACAATACAGTCAGGGGCGGACTGATAACTCATGGGGCCCCTGGGCAATAGGGGATCATGTGGCCCCTGTGTCCTTGCCCAAACTCAAAAAAGCCTATGAAAAAGGTACCAGGGGCATCTCATGGGGCCCCCTACTGACCCTGGGCCCTCGGGTAGTGCCCGAGTTTCCAAATGGTCAGTCCGCCCCTGAATATAGTTCAATACAAGAGGGATAGGAGGGCCCTGCTCCTTGGAGCTTACAATCTAGGAGATTCTCTACTGCCACAGGAGGTTAGTTCTAAATACTGACATAGACTTGTGTCATGCTATTTCCTATGCTTCAGTTGTATGTGTAATGTTGGATTTATTTCATTCCTAAGATTTCTAACATATTATTCAATACATTTTTGTTTCATTTGGTTTTGACAGTTTAATGGAGCACTTCTTCTGAGATGTACAAGCGACAAAGCATACAGACATTTCTCCTACTATATCTCCTTTGTAGCACCAATAACAATTGAAATGTTTAATAATTTAGATATAAGCATGGTTTATGGTTTAGGTTTGTTGATTCCATTAGTGTATAGACATTACACAGATTCTGTGTGGTCTAAATGTTTAATACTCTAGTTCGGCCAATTTGAAACATTATTTCTTTTTGCTCAGAGATGATGCTGTTATGGCAATCCTGGTGCCTTTTGCATCTTTGCTAAAAGTTTAGGTTTCATGCACATGGGGCATTTTAAAACCGCTGGTAGCGTTAGCTGTATAAATCGTGTCACAAACGAGTTTATCTGCGGTTTTTAGTGTTTTTTTTGCAGTAGCTTTTAGCCACATTTTTTGCATTAGTGTTTTTTAGCACAAAGAAAATGAAAAAAATTGGGGCTCAAAAAACACTCAAACACCAGTTTTCCACATTTTACTGCATTTTGCCACGTTTATCAGCATCAAAGCATTTTTACAGCTAAAAAATTCCGCTAGTTCTGGGGGGGGGTTTCCAACCAGAAAACGCCCCTGCCAAAAAATGCTGATTAAAGCCTATGTGTGCATGGACACATAGGATAACATGCTGGGGAGTTTACTGGCTGTAGAAAAAACACCAGAAGCCAAAAACTGCCGCTGTAAAAACACACAGTGTGCATGAGGAATTATAATACTGCCATGTGATCAATGGGGAAGAAATGCTTCTTGCCTAGAGCAGATTGATGATAGCATCTTAGCCTCGGAAAAGTCATCTCCCTGGAGCTAAAAAGCTTTTGATAAAAGGTATAGCTTATTTTTTTTTAAATGTTATTGTTGCTGTATTTTCTGACATTTTAGAAATTTACTCATGCATGTTACTGAAAGGAATACTTTAAATAGTTTCATGATTATAATATAGCATATGGCTAGACCAGCATACATGTCTTTTCATATGATACAAAGCCTAACCATGGGTTTTACTGTCACTGTCTATAATGTGATGAAGGGCCCTCCAGAAGACCCCAAACATATGCATCTGCAATATGAAAATGTCAACCTTTACAAAAATGGACACATAGGCCTGCTCACACCACATCCCACAATTCAATGCAGAGCCTCAACAACCTATTAAGAGGCACACACAGCATTATGGAGTGTGGTGGGGATCTTCTAAAAAGCCAGACATTGCATGCTATGAGTACTTGGAGTTCAGAGTATTGGGGTGCCTTTCAACAATGCTTCGAAATGTAAACCTGTGGTCAGGGGCAGACTGACCATTTGGAAACTCAGGCACTGCCTGAGGGCCCGGGGTCAGTAGGGGGCCCCATGAGATGCCCCTGGTACCTTTTTCATAGGCTTTTTTGAGTTTGGGCAAGGACACAGGGGCCCCATGATCCCCTATTGCCCGGGGGCCCCATGAGTTGTCAGTCCGTCCCTGCCTGTGGACCAGCATTGGGTTTTATCTAGTATTGACTGGCATGGTCCACTTTTACATGTGAATAGTAGTGAAAGCTTTTTTTTTTGTTTTACCACTGAATATAATCTAGGCATGACCATACAAATGATGAGTAGTTCCTCATCTCAGAGCTACATACATTACTGTACAAGTCCATTTTTAACTTTTAGATTGCTGACTGATGATACCCAGGATTAAAATAATAAGAACAATAATGTGATCTATTTAAAACGAAATAATAAAATATATTTTCAGCTGAAAACAACATATTTGGACACACTGATGATGTCTGTAAAATAAGTGTAGCTGAAGTAAAGAATATGCATTGGCTAGAGTACTTTAAAGCTGGCTTTCTGAAAAATCAACTACACATATTCATAGTTTTCATTGCCGTTGAACATGTACATTGATAAACTGCTCCAAATAGCCACATCCTAAAAACACACTCCAGACCCGCTTTTTAAATTAACTCAGGTGACACAGCCTGACTGCTAACAGGTTCCAATTTTCTCTGGCTTTCAATATATGCAGCTGGCTGCCCTGTAAACTAAGCCCCTCTGGTTGCTGCTATCTTTGTCTTTTGAGCAGCCATGAATTTAGATTCTTTTTTTAACAAATATTGTATTGCTTTTTCATATTCTTTTTTAAATTGTATTTTTTTGGATTTTCAAAGTTAACAATAAAAGGAAACAAATATTATCAGCATCAGTGAAGTATAGCATGAATAATCAAATAGGTTACAACCATGTAAGAGGTAATTATCACAGTATATATAAAGCAATCGTAGATCACAGTGGGAATCACAAAGAAATCACAAAGAAATCAGAAGAAATGTTTCTTTAGGACAGTCTTTCTCAACTAGGGTGCTGCTGCCTGGCTGAGAGAGGGCATTCACATCAAAGCCAAGCTCCCACTCCTCTGCCGAACATTGGTATTTTGGGATCTTTGTGTAGATCAGAGGAATGGGCATCTTCTAGAGTCCTGAGCTCTCTGCCTCCCCCTACAGGGCAGAACTGGCATTGCAGCACCCGGCAGTGAGTGCAGGTACCTTACTGCACTTTTTAACCACTTGAGCTCCTGAGGATTTAACCCCCTTAATGACCAGGCCTCTGTTTGCTACTTGGCGCTGCACTAATTCAACTGATAATTGCGCAGTCATGCAATGCTGCACCCAAACGAAATTTACGTCCTTTTTTTCACACAAATAGAGCTTTCTTTCGGTGGTATTTGATCATCTGTGCGCTTTTTATTTTTCACGCTATAAACAAAAAAAGGCCAAAAATTTTGAAGAAAAACAATATTTTTTATTTTCAGCTATAAAAAATATATAGTAAACTCAAAGTTGGTTATAAATTTAGGCCAAAACATATTCTGCTACATGTTTTTGGTAAAAAAAAATCCCAATAAGTGTATATTGATTGCTTTTTGTGGAAGTTATAGCGTCTACAAACTATGGTATAAATACTGCAATTTACGCCATTTTTCTGCTATACAGCGCTGCGCTAGTTTAACGGACAATTGCGCGGTCATGCAATATGGTACATAAATGAAATTTACATCCTTTTTTTCCCCACAAATTGAGCTTTCTTTTGGTGGTATTTGATCGCCTTTGCATTTTTATTTTTTGCGCTATAAAAAAAAAAGTTATAGCGTTTACAAATGGCGGGAAAGATACTGGGATTTTTAGGGTTTTTTTTTATACTGATAATGGCGGCGATCAGCGAATTATGGCGGCGATCAGGGACTTATGGCAGCAACCAGCGACTTATGGCAGGACTGCGGCGGACATTTTGACATTGGGGGGTACTGACTTGGGGTCACTGACATCCCCAAAAACACTAATACAGTAATCAGTGCAAAAAAAAAAAAAAAACTGACACTGTACTAATGGCAATGGGGAGGAAGGGGTTAACTATATTTAGCAGGGAAGGGTTATAGGAGTGAGGGGAGTGTTTTTACTAGGGGGCGGGGGTGTGTACTGGACGGGACAAGGCTGATCGAGAAAGAGAAACTGTTCTTTCTCGATCAGCTCATCCTCGAGCTGTCAGGGAAGTGACAGATAGCACAGCTACTGCAGCTGTGCTGTCTGTCACTGTTTGCCGCCGATCGCCGGGACATAGCCGCTAAGGAGCGGCTGTGACCCGGCGACTGACATCTGCGGCAGACAACCGCGGGACAAATAGGGCGGCGGGGCGCCTCGCGCGCGCCCCCTATTTGTTTACAAAACACACGTCTTAAAACGTGGTTTTGCCTGTGAGTGCCGCCCTGCCGCCGTATATGTACAGTGGCTGGGCGGCATGCGGTTAAAAAGGCTATCTGTGCGTGTATGTGTGTGTGTGGGTGTACATGTGTATACTTGTGTGTATATATGTTTGTGTGTGTATAAGTGTATGTAAGTGTGCGTGTTTGTATGTATGTAAGTTACTTTTAATCCTTTCCCTGTTCTAGTACGATCAGAACTGCTTTCTTAGTGCTAGCTCACAATAGCGGAAAGGACTGCCACTCAAATGAAATGCGATCCATGCTCAGATTGTTTTTCAGAGGCATTTGACAGGCGGTGAAGAGGCACTATGTTGCCTCTCCAACGCCTGTTTTAACCCTCTAAATGCAGCATCACAGTGTGGCCCTGTTGACCTGGGTGTATACTTCCTGCTAGGGCCTCAGCATGTGTACGAACTCTGCAGCTAAAAAAGAGAGCAATTGCAGATGGTAAAAACTTGGCTCAACCACATGGCTTTTCCATCACCCAACCTCACGCGTAAACAACCCCTTGGTTCACAATTGTGCAGCTGCATGCTGTGTGTAGGGCAGCCCATTCATTTCATTTGG